CTGGAATATTTATGATATGCCCCCCCTTCTTTCGATTCAACAATGGAATTGCATAGACTAAATCGCAATCAGTCTCAGTTCGTGGTGTTTTCCCTCTCTCTGTCAAAAACTATTACTCGTACTGGTCCCCTTGATTGGAGTATGATCAGGCGTTATTTTGCACCAAGCTCTCATAAAACGTTCTGTATAACCGCAATTAGTTGCTGACAGATTGTTTCAACTTGATATAATTACTCCTTACCGGAAACCCGTCGCCCTAGAATTAATTGTCTTGAACATGGGATTCTTTCTTCGTAATTTGCTAGTTTTTGACCATCCGTGCCTGCTTGTTCCAATAGTGTAAGCACATGCATCTTGTAGTCTGTATCAACATATTTACCTTCAGAGGAAACGATCTCTTTCATGGGATTCGTCCTATTCCGCAGATTAGTCATAAGCGTGATGTTTTGCCTCTGGAGGAGTAAGTAGGCCAGGTCGCGGATATATCGATAACCAAATATCATCATGTGTTTCAGATACCAATTATTATCAATGTTTCCCGACTTCTTTGCTAGGTTGGTGCTATGAAATTGATTACCAAGTATTGGAGATTCCGAACACTATGTTTCTATCCTGAGACTGCCATGTCAGTATGCTTTGAGATGTGTTAGGGCATACAGCTTTCATATTTCGTTTCTAATTTAGTTCAACAAAGCTGTCCAATATTTCCATCCTCTTGGAACTTTGCAGTGGGTATATCGTACGGAACACTTTCTGGCTTGGCTGTCAGTGGGACAAAGCTTCTGTTAATATTTCTTTACTCGGTAAAGTCACTCAAGTATTGCGATGGTGGCCGAGCTTTGTTGGTCAGTCAATAAGTGATCATCGCGGAAGACTTGTTCTTGTCCCATCAACGTTACGCTTCCGAAAGCAGCTGCGAGTGCGGCTAGCTACTGCTCCACTACCCTCCTTCCCCTAATAATCCCCAATCCTAATCTTCGTGATCAGTCATTCTCCCTAGCCCAACATGGGTTTCGTCAAAAGCGATCTGTATCACCAGCTTGCTTCTGTCGTGAGATGAATGAACATGAACACTTGACCTAGACGGCCGTGGTTTATCTGGACTCCTCCGATACATTCGATCCTGTGAAGCAAGACGCACTGCCTTAGCTTATTTACAGTGCTTGAGTTTGTTGTTCTTTTGGGATCAGATAGTTTCTTCGGCAACGTAGAATGTCACTTGACGTTTGTGATCCCTTAGTTGAGGTTATCAGTGTTACTAATGGGGTCCGTGTTTGTTTCTGTGTTTTATAAATGACCTACAGAACGTTGTACGACACGGCAGACAATGGTAAAGTCTGAAACACAGTTGTGCAACCTGAGGGCTCTCTAGCACCTCGAAAACACTTTATTCAGTTTGGTACTTGTTAATTATTTAACTTGACTCTTATAAGCGAGATCTAATTGCATTGTTTTACATATTTTGTTGGACATCTAAAACTATCACATTCCTAAACTTAAAAGAATTTTAATGTTGTTCTTCAGGAATATATATGTTTATCACCGGCTTGCGAGCAAGCTTGGTGCCAACGCAAATACAAGAATAACAGAACTTCGTGGGTGGGTGGGATAAATAGCAGAGTAAAAGGGGATCCGACAGTTAAGTTGAATAACGTGAATAACAAATATTTTTTGTTGCACCACGCGCTTAGGATATTTTTGGTGTTTTAGTTTATTGTTTTTTATCTGGCACAGGATTTAAGCAGGCAGACCGTACAACATTCGCGCCACTGACCTCTGGTCTGGGCCGTATCCCTCAGCGTCTCTAACCAACGACAATCCTCATCCTTTGGGCCCCAACCTGGGTCACAAGTCCCGTTAGGCTCCCTGGCTGGGGACCCCGAGATCATGGTCACCGATGGTTAGAGACCGATACGGCTGGATGTCGCAAACAGGGGTGCTCATGCATCTGCTCATTATCCTTGCAACTTCAGTCCATATGAATTCTCTATCTTCCGCTTGAATTTGTTCTTAACATTCCAATCTTCAATCTGCTCTTTCATCCAAATAGGCGGCCTAAAAAAAGCACACGAAAATGCATGGTTAATGGTTGTGAAAACTGGAAGGCGGGCTGCACCAACCGAAGCCAAGGCTAAAGCCAGCTTCTTCATACTTCTACGTCATATCATGGTCTGATCGTAGCGGCGTTTTTTTCCAGCTTTGCCCAGCACGTGAAAACAGAGCACGGAAAGGTAGCCGATGGGCAGGCGTACGCAAAACGTGACCATTGGGGCGGTCTAGCACGGTGTAGAGAACGACTATCCACACCCAACACGACGACGAACCTCGTCATTGCCCACCCAATGTTCCCACCAGACATGGGCAATGCTTCGGAGACATCAGTGGTCCAATATAAAAAGTTGATTAGCATCCTCAACGCGGAGGGGTCGGGTCCCGCAAACGTTAAGCAGAACACTATGAACCGCAGAGCTGTATCCTTTTAAAGGACAAACGGATGTCACGGCGGCGCCATAGGTGTCGTAGGTCGGTAAAAGCTTCCACCATTCTTCATGTGATTTCCTCCCCAACACCAACACCAGCTGTGATAAAGATCCCGAGGTACTTCAAACTCTCAACCAGCTTCAGCTGATCACCACAGAGTGAGTGCAGGCTCCTCAGTTTCAGTTTGAACAACCATTAAACATGCATTTTCGTGCTGCCCTTTGGATGAACGGTAGGAGAAAGACAGGAAGGTCGAAAGTGGAATTAAAGAGAAAATGGAAAAGTTCAGTGGAACAAGGTTGCAAACGAATTGAGAAGATACATGAACGCCACTGTTTACGACTCTCAGTCATATCGCTCAGTGTCTCTAGTCATTGAATACCCTGATTCCCATCCGAGAAGCCTAACAGGACCTATGTGACCCAGACACCTGATTAGGGTTTTCACAACCTGGTGCCAGATCTTAGCTTGACCACCTGTGTCTTTATTCACTGTGGCAACCTAGTTGGTGAATTGCTCAAAACATGTCCCAACCAACGATATCTATGGAGGTCGACTACTTGCTCCAGTAGGCGACCGCGATTACCTGAAACTCAATGCCTAACCTCAGCATTGCTCGTCCGGCTGCCCCACCAGATTCGTGCAATGCTGCGTAGACAGTGGTGTTCAAAAACCGACAGTCTATCTTTATCCTGTTTTCCTAATGGCCAAGTTTCTTTGCCGTAGAACAGAACTGGCCGAACTGCTGCAGCAAACACTCGATGTCGGATGTCGCGATGGCGCCAACCGAGCCTTCTGTATACGAGCTGACACTTCATCCGTGATGCGTCCACCG